TAATAGGAAAGCTTGAGCTGAGGAAGGCAGTCCGTAAGATACCCATTTTTGTGTCTTTTGAAAGGGCTATGGAAAATGGGCCTAAAAATGCTCTTTACTGGTGCTACTCAAAGTGTGATCCTCAGGCCAGCAGTAAACAGCATCTCCAGGAGGTTTGTGAGAAATTCAGAGTCTCGGGCATCTCCAACCTACTCGGCCAAAAACTGTGGAGGTGGGACCCAGGAATCCGTGTCTTTAGAAGCTCTCCAGGGGATTCTTATTCTCAATAAAGTTTAAGAACTATTTCTCCATGCCATGCACTACTTCCACACTACTGTGAAAGGGGTCATGAGTTACCCCTGACATAGCTAATAGATGGTTCTGTTGAATTCCAACTGCAGAGGGAAACAGAGATTGCTCCTCACACTGATTCCTCCTTTTGAGTAAATAAAAATTCAGCTGAACTCCAGAAGAAGGGTGTGTGTGTGTGTGTAGCTCGAGTGTCTGTTGAGGGCGCGAAGGGAGGTTTGTGGTCAGAAATGGGCAAGAGCCAGTGAAAACAGAGGTGGTACCTGGAATGACTCTGCTCTCCCCCCATCCCTCATCATCCTTGCAAATGCACTGACTCTCCCGACCCTGGGTGTGCGATTGAAGAGCAGTAAAGGAAGACCTTGGGGGGACATGCCCATTTCTGTTCTTCTGGAAAAGGAACTGGAATAATTTATTAGTTTTCGAAACTAGGAAACCCCGGCGTGTCTTTGAAAGGCAGACAAAGGTAATCATCCTTCCTGCTTGCAACACAGTGCTTCAAACCAGGTTTAATTATGCGTTTTAGAAGAAAAGTAGAGCTGAAAGAAAGCCTCATCATTAACAAGGAGAATCTGAAGGAAGTCTGCTAGGGAGTGCTCCCCAAAACAAAGTCCTGGGAAATAAATCCGTTCTTTGACGTCAAACTTAATTTCCATTAAATTGGCCAATTTACAGTATGGGACCATGCTATATTTCCAAAGCTGTTTTGATTGACAGCCCAGATGAACAATTGCTGGGTCCTGCTGACCATTCTTTCTCCAAGGAGAATTCTGAATGCATGGTCTCCTGAATCCCTCCTGTGGCCTGAAACTCATCCAGTCCAACCTTCATACGGTCACCCTTATGTTAATTTCCACTATGGGGAGAAAGGACTCTTAGGTCTCAAAATGAATGGATCTGCCAAATGCAATTTGCAGATCTCTATGTGATGTGGTCAGGTCTTATAATGTCTTCAGTTGCCAAATTTTTCTTCCTTCACCCTGGAGCTCATACTAACAAACTCAGGCCATAGCCTAAGATGGCCCATTTGGCTTTTTCGTAGAACGTAGGCTGCTCTGCCCTCTGCTCAACCCATGATGCAAAGTCCTGATTAGTGCCCTCTAGAACCTCATGGGCAGGAAATGCATTCTGGGGACGATTCTAAAACTCACTGATTCAGACAATGATGCCATTTCTTCCCCACCCCTCCTTTTATTTATTTATTTATTTATTTATTTATTTATTTATTTATTTAAACACCTGTATTGTGGCATGATTCCTGCACAATAAACTACACCTATTTCAGATGTACAATTTGACGAATTTTTAATAGTGCCATTTCTTGAATTCAGTTTTTCTTTTGGTTAGTTTCAACATTACATGACTAAACAAATTCAAAAGTCTGCATTCCACAAAAAAAAAAGATACTAACTAATATATATAAAATAGATAAACAACAAGTTCATACAATATCTTGTAACAACTTATGGTAAAAGAGAATACGAAAATGAATATCTGTATGTTCATGTATGACTGAAGCACTGTGCTGTGCACCAGAAACTAACACAACATTGTAAACTGACTAGACTTCAATTAAAATATATATATATATATATATACATATACAAAAAAGGTCTGCGTTCACTTTCATGCTGCGTTTTGAGGTTAGAATGAAATAATACCAATAAGAACTTCCAGTTTGAGGGGGAGATATTTTTACCATTATTTTTCCTCTCCTTGTTAGGGTGACCCTGTGTGACCCAGCACATTGTAGTACAGGGCATCCTCTTTAACCAAAAATTATGACTAGAAGAAAGCCACTGAGTCTGGCATACCATCATTTTTTTCAAATAAAAACTTAGTGGGTACTATGACACCCAATCCATATAATTTATAATTTATTATAAATTAAGTATAATTTATTTATTTTTTTAGTGTTCATACTGAATATGAGCTGCAGAAACTTTCAGCTTGTCAAAATCATCATTACGAGCTGAATTAGCATCGTGCTTTGGAGATGAGAGGGCGGGCGCCCGTTAACGGAGCGCTCCCATAACAGAATGTTGGGCGATGTGGTCTCTCTCACGTTGCTGCTGTGCGGACTCACTTGGCAGCCCAAGCATAGCTTTGCAGGGATGGTCAGCAGGAAATGGAGAAACCTCAACACCAGGTAAACTATTCAGAGTATGCAGGTGACGGGCAGACTGCCTGACTCGAGCATGAATTCCATAGCTCAGAGCCTCACCTTCACGATACCCAATCTGTGCTAACTCTGAAAAGAAAGGCGTTGTCTGTCTGTATTTCTTCCCGTGAGGAATCAGAAACAATAAGCAACCTGGGTTTCCAGACTGGATTTTAAATCAAATTGATAAATACAAAATAGATAAACAACAAGGACATCCTCTATGGCACAGGGAACTATATTCAATATCTTGTAATAACCTATAATGCAAAAGAAGCTGAAAAAGAATATATGTGTGTGTGTGTATAACTGAATCACTTTGCTGTACACCTGAAACTAACACATGGTAAATCAACGATACTTCAATTAAAAAATTTTTTTTAAATAAAATAAATTAAAACTAAATCAGATTTATACTAGTGCAGCATAGTCATCCCAGATTACATCAGGTGAGGTGTCAAAAATCACCCACCTTTGCCCAAGAGGAGTCTGTTTCGCCACAGCTCAGATAGGGGCCCTACGAAAGCCCAGCCTGGGGCGTGCACGCTGGCAGGCACAGCGCCGGCCCTCACCCTGGGACGCCTGAACACGTTAGTGTGTTACCTCATTTCCATCATTACTTTATTTCCATTAAAACTTTGAGACACAGTTTCAGGAGTTCCAATCATAGATGGCTTATTATTTTTCACTGACGAAAAGAATTACACAGAAGGCCCTTTGTTTCAGAACAGCTCACAGCCAGCGAGGGAAGACTCACCTCCCCGCATGGGCAGCTCTTGTCTGTCCCCAGGCCCAAGTTCAACAGCCACGGCAGCGGACATGCCTGTCGTAAACCGTGTCCCCTACTGGGGTTTGCGTGTCCCCCTGAGCCACTTCAAAGACCCATGACAACACAGAGCCCGCCCACCCACAGGGCTGCCAGGCCGGTGGCTACCTGTTACCTCATGTCCCTGGCATTCGCTGCGGTGGCCAGCCTGGCCTCACACAGCTGCAGCTGCCGGCAGCTTTCTGTTTGTGTGGCTGCCAGGACTCCTGCCCACAGCTGTGGCCAATCATTCATTCAGCAAGCCGTGCTGAACCATTACTATGTGCTAGGCAGCGGCCCAGATGTCCCTCGGGTCACCAGTCACTTTGGGGCATGGAATGAATGCCTCCCTACCACTTTCTCTCCCCTGCGGGCTTCGGGGTCGGAGGAACCTGGGTTAAAACCAAGCTTTGTGCTCACCGATGACTCTCTCCCTCTTAAATCTCAATTCCTCTGGTGTAAAGAATGCAGTGTAATTGTGAAACAAAGTAACTGGATGTCGTATAGAAATTATTTAGCCCAGTGCCTAGAACATACTGTAAAAACCAGCACTGCTGACATTTGGGGAGGGTAATTCTTTGCTGTGGGGGGCTGTCCTGTGCATTGTCAGGCGCTGGCATCCCTGGCCTTTACCCACTTGACGCCAACAGCACCCCCAGTTGTGACAACCAAGACATTTGCCAAGTACCCCTTGGGAGACAAAAGTTCTAGTGGTTGAGAACCAGTGTAAAAAGTCCCTATTATTATTATTATTATTTTATCATCGGGGGCCACTGAGAAAATGCATTCTTCATGCATGCCATTGAATATGCAAAGTCTACTTCCGGGGGGAGAAAGCACGTGGGATCCAGAAAAGTCAGAGAACTGAGCTTACCCTGACAATGATCCGTTCAGAGATGTGGGCAGACAACAGGTAGAACTGGTCTTGGTTAGCAGCATACAGTCCAACCACCAACATGAAGTACCTAATACAGAAACAGCAGGGCAGTGGCAACACGTCAGGAAACAGAGACACAATCTGTGCATTCAGACACCACCCAACAGTTAATCAATAGTGAGTTTATCCAGGTGGGTTTGGGCTTTACAGATTTCATACTTAAAGATTTTCTCTTCTGCTCTAAGTTGCCACCCCTGTGAAACCAGAGAGGAGTTGATTCACGCGCTCTTGTTCTGGGTCTACCCTTTGCCCAGCTGGAGGGACCTGTGAGCTGGGTTGCAGGCCCAAAGCAGCCTTCACTGGGCAGACACCCTGCTGGGGGCCCGGCTCGGCCCACCTGGGCTGGCTGGGGGCAGGCCTCGCCCTGCTGCATTCCTGGGCCCTCAGCACAGCACTGCTCACTCACTTGCACAACAAAAAGCCACCTTAGAGGTCCCTTTGTCCAGAACCACCCAAGCCACACATCCTAGACCAGCAGGGCTGACCCAGGCACACAGGCTCCTTCCCCCCCTGATCTTCACTTGGCCACGGAACCCGGACCTCTCACATTCTCCAGTGATGACTTCAGTCAAAGGCCAGAACCCTCCCTTCCAATTGTAATCAAGGCAGCCTTCATCACTGTCATTTAAATGGCCTCTTTATGTGTACCACTGATGAGACATTTTTAAGATTAGACCATTTCTGGGAAGTCAAAATAAAAATTATCTCTATTAGAAAAGCTTTTGCTTTAAGAACCACATGAAAAATAATTCAGCAGCTTTTCCTGTAACACTCTAAATTCTCAAATCCCGGGAGAGCAACAGTTCTACCTTGTATCAAAGAAATCAGTAATAGTAACAACAGATGTGATGATGATTTTTATTATTAGCTATCACCTACTGAATGCTCGAAGTGTGTCATGCACTGGGCTAAGCAGTTTATCTACATTAGTTCGCTTAGAATCCCAAAACAACCTTACTGGAGCAGGATATGGGTATTGCCCCCATTTTACAGAACAGAAAAATGAGTCTCAGAGAGGTTGAGTTCTGTGCTCAAGGTCACCCAGCTGCTAAATAACAGGATCAAATATTCAAACTCAGTACTGTCAGACTCCAAAACTTACGTTCTAAAATCAGTGGTTCTTAAACTTGGGCACGCATCCAGTCACCTGGGGGTTTGTAAAAAGAGAGATTGGTGGCCCCCACTTCACATTTTTGATTCAGTAGGTTTTCAGGGAGGCCCGACAACTTGCATTTCTAATAAGTGTCTAGGTGATGTTACCTCTGCTGGTCCTGGGTCCACAGTATGAGAACCACAGGTGTAAATCATTAATGCAAATTTATTTGATTTTTTTTTATCAAAAAAGGCTACGGCAGAGCTCCAGGACTCAGGCCATGAAACTAGTGACCAGCACAGAGAATTTGAGAAATACAGTCAATCCTCAACCCTTGGGAGCAATGAGACATGAACAGGTGGTCCCTCAATGAGAATCATAAAGGAAGACAAGTGGACGTGGGGCTGGGCGGGAGAGCAGGCATCGCGGGGTGTGAGGAAGGAAGAAGAAAGATGCCTAAGGGTAAACGAAATGTGTCCTTAAACAGGAAGAGTCAGAGAAGGGAGGAGAGTGGCTGAGGGAGGCCCAAATCTCCCAGCAGGCCAGCCCGGGGCTCAGAGGGGCCCCTGGAGGGGACGGGGCCGTCCGGTGGAGCAGCCGGCCAGCCCGGGGCACACCCACGACGCCAGTACCTCTGGTCAGGGTTTGGCTTTCCCTTCTTCCTCATGTTATTTGCTGTGGTTTCGCTGAAGTGTAACCGGCCCAGCGTTACTTTGGTGACCTGGTCAGCAAGCAGGTCGACTCTAAAACAAACAGCAAGAAATACCGAGACTAAGAGAACAGAGTTTTTGATCATATATAACTCATTCTTAGATTCTTGGGTCTGTTCAGTACTCTCATTCTCATCACACCGTGAAAGACACTGATTTTTAATAAACCGTCCACAGCATGGTCAGGAACGGCTGCCACGGGATAATTCTTGCATGGTAAGAAGGGTTCATTCAGCTCAAGCCCGGAGCTTCTGACTCACAACGGCTGGATGCTCCTGTCCAACGTACAGGTTCTTTGACCTCCACGACAGGAGGAAAGACACGTTGCATTTGTGCCTCTGGCACTGTTGCTTTAGCCCTCACCGCCCGACTGACGCAGTTTCTCTAGGTTCCTCGTGAGCTCCTTGGCACCCCCTTCCTGCATCTGCCCTCTCCTGGCCTGGTTGTGGGAGGCAGCTCGCCAGCTCCTGAGGAAGACCGCGCACAGCCTGCCCAGCCGGGGAGAAGCGATGCCCCAGGCCAGTTCAGTGCCGTGTGCACATGTGCACTTCAGGCTGAGCTCTCGCCTGGTCTGTCCCGGGTGTAGGACCATCTATCAATATTGCTTTAAAAAATAAGTAAAATGAACTGTAAGCACAGCATGGATCCAGAACCTTGGAATCAATTTAATTGGCATCATGCTGATTTAAATGAAAAATTAAAAGAAAGATCTAACCATAATCTATCTTAAGAAACCGAAGTTGTTAGCGAGGTTGTCAGTAATAAATGATTATAAAAATAATGGTGACTTTAAAATGGAGCTTTTATTTTATTTTATTTTATTTTTGGAGGGGGTGGCACTTAGGTTTATTTATTTAATTCTTTTTATAATGAAGGTACTGGGGATTGAACCCAGCACCTCGTGCGTGCTAAGCATGCACTCTACCAGTTGAGCTGTGCCCTCCCCCTAAAATGGAGCTTTTAAAAAGGATTTTTTTTTTGCAATTATTTCAATGTATTTTACCTTTACTTTTGTTGATAAGCATGTGTTCAGAATATTAACATATTACTACTGATTAAGTACAGTACAATTTCTACAGTGGAATTCATTTTATTTTATTTTTAAATTTCAGTTTTTTTTTATTGAAGTTAGTTGGTTTACATGTTTCAGGTGTTCAGCAAAGTAATTCAGTTATACATAAATATATGTATTCTTTTTCAGATTCTTTTCCAGTGTAGGTTATTACTAAATATTGAATATAGTTCCCTGTGCTAGACAGTAGGTCCTTGTTGTTTATCTATCTTATATACAGTAGTGTGAATCTGTTAATCCCAAATTCCAAATTTATCCTTCCCTGCTCCCAGAATTTATTTTAAATAAGCAACATACATCAGGCAAGAGGGCTTCTTCCCAAAACATTCACAAAGAAATTTAGAAAAAAATTTCTTACTTAACAGGATTGAAGATCTTTTTGCTTCTGTCTGCTTGGGACTGTTCAATAGCAATTATTTGATTGGTGGCTTCTACCTGTGTAGAACAGCAAAAAAAAGTAATTACTAACAAGTAACTTATTTATTAGTTAAAATGCTCAATAGTAAATAATTTTCAAGTGTTTAAAAATTTTCCCAAGTCATCAAGTTAGGCACTTGGCAGGAAGGACAAGTCACTGAAAGGATGTTTCAGACAACAGCCCTGACCTTAAAGCGGTGTGTCATTGGTGAGAAATGAAACAAACATCTGTAAAACTAAATAAAGAAAACACAAGACCACAGAGGGTTTCAGGTGAACAGTGACTATAGAGTGGGCTAGTAAAACAAAAGAGCAAGGCACCTCGAAGGACACATGCACTCACTCACTCATTCATTCATTCATCCTATAAATACTTGCTGAGCACCTGCTGTGCACCAAGCATTAGAGATGAGAAGAAGGCAAAATTAACAGAAATCCCAGCCCTTGCAGAGCTTAAAAGAAGAGCTCACAGCAAACAATACAAATAAATGAAATATAGGAAATGACATTCATTCAGTAGTTGCTACAAACTCTTCTGGTTATCACTGAATAGTGGCAAGGGCGTGCTGAGATCTGCCCTACCAAATATGGCCTGTAAGTATTTGCATAGTAACAACCTTTCTGGACAGCAATTGGGCAACCTACATCAGGGGTTTCAATAATGCTCACTGATTCGATGTATAAATTCCTCTTCTGGAATTTATCCTCATGCAAAGATGGGTATTCGTGGATGTTCACTGCAGTGTTATTAGCAACAATAAATAATTGGAAAAAGAAACAAAATTTACAATAATACAGGAATTAATGTGGTATTTCGATAAAATGGAAAATAGTATCATTTCTGTAAACAATATTTTATAGAATCTTTAATGATATCATATAATTCCATTTTCACAACATAATATTAACAATTTGAGATTAATTTTAATAACAAAAATATGAGGCAAAATTAGGCTATCAGATAGTGGATCCCAAATATGAATGAATTTTTTCTCTTCTTCACTCTTTTCTAATATGTTCCATAATGTTCACCATGGACTCATGTTACTCCCATAATCAGAAAAATATGTTTTATTATTGTTTGTTTTATTTTGGTTTGGTTTGGATTGGTTTTGTTTAGGAGTTTGGTTGAGAGCAAGAGCAGCTCATGTGTTCAGCAGTCGAGCCCCACTTTGGTAGACTTAGTGGCTGGGCCAAGGTTTCCTGATGTAGATAATGGATGTTTCTCACCCTAAGGAGCTGGATCTCAGGTAGCAATTAAAAAATACCTGTTGACCACTCACAAGTCATCCTACCTGCATTCTATCATTTACCACCTTGGGTGAACTGTGTAACTTTACTGGGCCTCAATTTCCCCTCTGTTAAATTGGAAAAGAAGAGGCATTGACTAGATTAGTGGTTCCTTGGCTTTTTTAAAGTTAGAGGTTCCTTTGAGAATTTGGTGAGCACTGTGAATCTTCTGCATATCAAAATGCACCAGTGTCAAAAATAATCAAATCATTACATTCAGTAAAAGAAATGCAAGATGTATACATTAAAAATGTCAAAACTGTGGTTTGAATTGATGTTTCTGAATTGAGGCTGAAGAAATTGGCAGCTTCCATTTCCTATGTCTTGAAACATTTATTCTTAGACCCCATCCACCATGCTGTGAGGAAGCACAAGCTGTCCCACAGAGAGGTCCACAGGAGGGAGAACCAAGCTTCAGGCTCAGCTTCAGCCCCCTCTGAGCTCCTGGCTGATGGCCAGAACAAATCTTGGAGACTAGATCCAGGCCCAGAGGAGCTGCCCCAGCTCATGGCTCCTGAACAGAGGTGAGCTGTCAGAGCCAAGCCCTGACCCAGTTGCAGATCTGTGACCCAAACCTATGACTGTTATTATTTTTAAGTTGCTCAGTTTGGGGACTGGTTGTTACGCAGCAACAGATAACTGGAACACTTAGTAAATGTTGGCTGAATTAAATTAAACTGGGGGGGGAGGTATAGCTCAGTGGTAGAGTGCGTGCTTAGCATGCATAAGGTCCTGAGTTCAATCCCCAGTACCTCCATCAATCAATCAATCAATCAATCAATCAACCTAATTACCTCCCCACCCCATCCCAAAAAGAATAGTCAAATTAAAGTGAACTGAAGAAGACTTACCTTAACCCCAAAAGCTTTCAAGTAAAACATTTCTATTGGCTTTAGGCCCAACTGGGTTTTGACAAACTTTGGACTTCCCCAGACTTGGATATGGATGGTTAGCTGAAAATGGTTCTTCTTTTGGCAAACAAAGGCTTCATCTGCCGGCGAAAAATTAAATCCTTTGTCTGTGACAACTCGATAGCCGATATCGGGTCTGTGAAACGTGGAATCAAGCAGCCGGTTTTACAAATATCTTCTACACATTTTCCTTCATTAATGATATTAATTGTACAAACATTCCAAGAAAATGTATTGTGGAAAGTCCCTTTTGGTGTATTTAATCAATCAGTTTTGTTCATTTTTATCAGGGAAATGAAAGTACCATTTCAAAATGCAGCGGGCCCCCTCGCAGGATTTTTATCTTCACCAAGAAGATGTACAATTCTTGCCAAATGGAAGCATCATTTCCTCTGCCTGCCTTTTCTCTTTATGCTTCCTAGACTTCTAATTTGACTTCATCATAAAACAGAGAGACAGGTAAGAAGCTGAGAAGTCATCACATTCCTCAGACTTATGAAATATCTGGGCTAGAACTCATCTCTTTTCCTCCTTTAAAAAAAAAATCTCTAAATTTCATCAGTAACACCACACTCAAATAGTCATTCAGATGAATGAATATTCAGCCTTTTGGTAGTCACATGAAGAAAAATAGACTGGTCAGAATTACCAGGAATACTTTCAAGCCAGATTAACCAGAAACAGTCAGACTACTGATTGAACACGTGTTTTCACTGGAGTGTGGTCATTTCCTTTTTGTCCTCCTGATCTGAAATAGCACTGAATACCCACGATGCTGGCTACTTTCACAGAAAAAAAATGGGATGATGGTGGGGCGGCTAGCCAGACTCCTGCTTCATTTGTTTTATCAAACCATTTTCAATAGCAATACTTTGTGTATTGCATGTTCCATGAAATGCTTTTAAATGTTAATAAAAATAAAACATACCTAGACGTGTAACATTATCAAGTAGAGAAGAGAATATAAAGTCGAAAGCGCCTTTGGTGAGTTTTTCTAAATATTTTGTAGATATGGAGCATGATTTTTAGTGCATCAAGATTCCTGAATGTGGGTTTTTCCTCAGGAAAAGAAGTTTCTTCCTAGGACAACACACAGAGGAGGCGGGTCCTGGCCGCTTTGCCAGCTCCCTGCTACCGTGTGGATCTGTGCTTTCTGGGATCTCGACTCGGATGGCTGCCATGTAACAAACAACGGAGAGTTTCTAAATTATCCTCTAATTTCAGAGACAGAAAATATCAATGAGGCTCTTGGGGAAACAGCGTTTATGTTCTCTGCAAGTTACGCACCTCCCTTCTGGACCAAGTCACTAGGGCATAGATTACCCTCAAGTAGCTGCTCAAAACCTCCAAAATCACAGTGCCCGCCAGTGGCAACAGAAAAATCCAGTGAGTGAAGGATTTGATAAAGACCGCATGTCGTATGCCATCTGGGAACTCTATATTGACTCAGATTACTAGAACGAATCTGCTAATTTGCTTGTGTAAGGGCCAGGATGGACTGAATTGTATAGATTTCACTATAGAAAGTAATAAGAACTGTCTTGGTTTGAGAACAAAGGGAAATATCTTTTCACGATCTTCCATGTTTCACTGTCAAAAAACTGAAGAAAGAAGGCAAGGTTTGCAGCTCAGATCTGACCATTGGCCTGAAATTGAAGGACAGCTGTAAGCAGAAGCTGAATCAACCCACAACAATTACACAGCTGAAGATTTTTCTGAATCTTAAACCCAAGTCTCTGGTTGTAGAAATTATTCTATTTACCTACGAGTAGCAATTCTGTTTTTGATATCAAAAGTTAATTATAAAGTCAACTAAACTGGCTTTTTTTACAGCTCCTTTTAACACAGATTCTAAATACCATCCCCCCCCTAAAAAAGATTTAATAAATTTTTAATCCCCTAACTTTATTGCTTTTAGGTTATTTAAGAAAGTAATATTATTGTCACAAGTCAGACATCATAATCTAAGAAGAGACAAGTGATTTTCTGTCTCAATAATATGAGCAGTGAAATCAAGAAGGCCTGAATTCTAATCCAGTTGAGTATTGTCTTCCTGGTTTTAATTAAGAAAAGTGAATTATGGCTAAGCATTCAAAATAAATCTACCTCTGCACCTTTGAGTTGATACCATTTCTGTTCTTTTTTTCCAGATCAGTGGAGCATAGATTGGCTGTTCAAATAAACTTAAAAAAGTAAAAAATAAAACTACTCTAGCACAGGGAAATATACACAAAATGTTATGATAAACCACAGAGAAAAAAATGTGACAATGAGTGTGTATATGTCCATGAATGACTGAAAAATTGTGCTGAACACTGGAATTTGACACAACACTGTAAAATGATTATGAATCAATAAAAAATGTAAAAAAAATAAAATAAAACTAACTACAAATAAGAAGAGAGGTAACAGTTACCTTGAAAACTTCATAAACTCAGATGCATAAAGACTAGGAAGCATTCAAGGCTTCAATTAAAATACTGTGCATATGTGTAACAGGTTCATACCTTGGTGCTCATTCTTAGGGTTGAATACAGAACACTCCCCAAAAAATCAAGACGGCTAAGACTCAAAACCGAGACCTAGGGACCCTTCCCTTCTTTTTCTACTGCCCACAGTGGCAAAGATAGAAGCTGTGACATTTCAATGATACAATTAGCAGTTTGCGTCTTTCTGCCTCTTGTCAAATACACCAACTCCCAAAGGCTGTTGAAACTCCTTAGATTTGTTCTAAGGAAAACATTTCTTCTTTCTAGTTCATCCAACATAAAAGTCCTGGTGATTAGTTTTGCTCTTAAAGAAGCTATATTTAGGTTTGGAAAATGCCATGAAACCCCTCAAGTTTGTAGCCTGGCATTTCCCATTTCATATTCTATTTATTAATGGAAAATCCTATTCTTTAAACATTAGTACATTTTAGTGTTTTAAGAAGGCATTTATAGTCCATGAAAATTCTGGAAGAGTTGGGTAGGTAAATTATATACTGAAGGATAAAAAGAAGGCTTACAGGATGTTTAAGAGCAATGATGTGTAAGCCCACATTTATTTCTTGAAACTATAATGTCACAAGAATAGTATGCAAATTTTCCAGTTTATGGCTATTTTACACAGTTTGATTTCAGTCTCAATATAAAGCCACCATCAATTACTATGAAAGCCACTATGTCTACCACAGGCTCCACTGACAATAAACTGATAATACTGATTCTCAGCATAGATTTTGGGGGAGCTAACAATTTAATGTGCCCCCCCCCCAAAAAAAGTGTGCTATGGAATTTTTAACTGCAGGATTCGATGTTAGTGATTTGGGACATCGCCATTTTCCAGCGTTTAGTTTAAACCAGGCATGTGAACTCAGAAAGGCTCCCTCCCCCTCCATCATTTAGTGGGTAAATTGTGAGTTAGAATTACAAGTCTAGATTCCTGAAGGCCAGAAACCAACGTCCCAACTATTCATTAGTTAAAATGCAAAAGGCAAGGAAGAAGACACACCTTCCCACTGACCCATCCCATTGGCTCAGGGCTGGCATCAAAGCCCAGATTCTTGGATTTAGTCTGGAGAGTCAGCACCGCCTTTCTCCCCTCTCTCCAGCCAACCACGCCAGGGGGGGTCTAAGGCCACTTACAGTTTTTCGTATTGACCATTTACTAAACTATGCCAAGGAACACTTCGGTATGGCTGCCACTTCAGAGCAGGCGAGCACTGGTCCGCAAGCATCACGTTCTGTCTCTCACTGTCACGGTCTTGCACTTCGTTGCTGTGACTCCTGCTTGTCACTGTGAAGAAACAGGTATGTCAGATCCTTCCTCCAGGGCTGTTTGTCCTAGACGCACAGACAGCCGCGTGGAGCTAATGCACAGGCCATGTGACCGCGTGAGGAGTGACACGTGTGGGAGGCAGGGGGCACGTGGCTAGCCTTGCTTCCTCATCTGTAAAGTGAGGAGCGTGGGGTCAGTGATTTCCAAGGTGCCATGGTGAGCGCTTGTTAGAAATTTTGCCCTCGGGACCCACTTCCAGTCTGTGTGGTTTGAGTGAAGGCCAATTCCAGTCCCAGGGAGGGGAGCGGACCCAGGCTTGATCCATCAAACTATAGAATTTGCATCAGTAATTGCACCAGGTAGACACATGGCCTAATTCAACCCAAGCAGAGTGGATCTCAGCACTTTAGGGCAGATGGGTTCAAAGATGTTGACTCTTTTCCATGAGGTGTGAACCTGTAAGACACATCCCTAAAAGCTGCTGGCGCCACTTTGGGACATGAGGGGAAAGCCTGCCTGGGGACGAAGCCAGCACAGCAGAAGGCACAGCTGAGAATGAAGGGCACCCGGTCCTGATGGCATGTTTTGAGTTCTGGGATCCAGTCTTAAATGTTAGGTTACTGGACCCCATAGACGCCCTAGTTTTGTTGTTGTGGTTGGTTGTTTTGTGATTAAGGCAGCTTGAGGGTTTTTTGGGTTTTGTCTTTGGCTTCTTTGTTTTTGTTGATCGTAACCAATACATTCTAATCTGTTACAGGTCCCTTGTGGCACCAAGATTCTGTGGTCCAACTTGCTTTTTGAACTTAGACGAGTTATTTATTCACTTAGCGTCTTACTTCCCTCAACGGCAAAACAGAAATTATAACAGGTGTCCCGCCCATCTTGCAATGTTACACAAGCAGAGAGAATATCACAGTGAAAGAACTTTCAAAAGCTAAAACGAAGACAAAATAACAGAAAATATCTCGTTAGAATGTAGTATTAACTACGTGAAATTGCTACGTGAGTGTATCAAAAATGGTCAGATAACAGCAATTTTACATGTACAAGCTACTCTTTTTGCATAATCCTTGCAAGTTGTTTGTCATTTTTTAAATTGTGGTTGTTCTACAATGTTGTGTTGGTTTCTGGTGTACTGCACAGCCATTCAGCTGTATATATATCTATAATGTGTATAAATATATTCCTTTTCACATTCTTTTTCATTCGGCAGCACATATACTAAAGTTGGAACAATACAGAGATTAGCATGGCCCCTGAGCACGTTGTCTGTCTTAATTTGAATATGACTCCCAACTGGATGATTCAACCACAGGTAATTTGTATGTAAATTCTACTCGGCTGTTTGCTGCTTCCCTTTTCTGTTAACGCCCCTTGCATCACTCATGCCTGACACCAGGAGTAAAAGGGAAACGGTGAGTGTTCACAAGCTCAGGTGCCAGCTGTGGGCAACAATACAGAACACATTGCATCTTCTAATAGAGCGGGCACTTAGCCCACAGCTTGGAGCCGCAGGGGCACGTGGCTGGGTTTTCTTGCACTCATCCAGCTTCCTTTCTTTTTACTTTTATAGAGGACTTCTTAAAATAAATAAATAGCAGAGCTGCTTCAGGTTGCTCTGGATCCCAAACGTCACAGAAATTGTGTTTTTCCCTTGGGATATTGCTATTACATGCCACCTAAGCAAAACATCTGTTTCTTTTTTTGGTTTTTGTAAACAATCACTTAGGAAAAGTTTCCCAAAAGCCTGAACATCTTTTTCCCAGCTAAGAATGCAGGTGGTCACAACGCCAGGAGCTCTATGGCCTTCATGCCTCCAAAAGTTACCTGGCCCAAAACCTTCTCAAACCAGCCTCCCCATGGTCTGCCTTGTTCAAATCAACTTCAGAGAAAGGAAGAAACTAGCCCTTCCATCCTTCCTTCCATTGGAGGAGGGAGGATAAAGGAAGTTCAAGAGCTTGGCGTTTAGAACCAGGTGGAACCGGGTTTGAATCGCAACTCAATGTTTATTGGCTCTGCGATCTTAGGAAAATGGATGGATGTCTCTAGGCTTCAGTTTCTTCATCTACAAAATGCAAGTAACAATGTGATGCCTCCCGGGATTGTTGGAGGAATGCAAAGAGCCATGTCTGTAAGGGCTTCGCACAGTGTCTGCCACCAGTAAGTTTAAACACTGGTGCCTTTGGTTAGTACTAGTGGCACCGTCATTACCAAATGTACTTGTTTCTATCAGGTGACTCAGTTGTTCCCAAGAAGCCTTGGCAAATACTTCTGTTCTTGGCCTCCATTGTAACTCTATCTGATGTGAAATAATTAACGTCATGGGCCTGAGTGAACACCAGGTAACTCGGGCCCCTTCCCACTCAAGGATGGTTGTAAGGTCAAGGTACCGGGGAGCCAGCCTGAGGCCAGCTCCACTCCTCCAGGTGCTGGGAGGGAGGGTGGGCAGTGGGCAGGGGGCACTGTCCTCGAGGATAACGGTATTTCCTGCCCTTTCCCATCACAGCAGCAAGGGGCTCAGGGCAGCCACTCCAACAGGACTAACATAGTCGGTGCTTCCCTGGGAGCTGGCTCTCAGCTGACGAGTCCCAGGAATGGGAGTCTGGGACCACAAGCCCGCACTAAACTTCCAGGCACAAGCCTGAGCCCAATACTGGGACTTATTATTGTAAATATGAATACTGCTAATAATATCTACGACCCTTGTGGCTTTCTGCACCACAGGCACTGTCCCAGACTCTTGACATAATTTCTCATCAACTCATTAACTCATCCTCAAGGTAAATATCGCTTTTTTTAATGAACTTTCTGTACTAAAGTATAATATATACGAAGGCGGGTACACAGACTATTAGTATATGATTTTTTATAAAATGCATTATACTGGGTAACTACCACTAGATCAAGAAATAGGACACCTTTGGCACTCTAGAAGACACACTCATGCCCTTTTCCAGTTACTACTTTCTCCTGCCCAAGAGTAATCACTGTCTGCAATCTAACACCATACGGGAGTTTATAGAAATGATATGATATGATGTGTACTCTCATGTGTTGGCTTATTTTGTCCAACATTATGTTTATGAGATTCACTTATTATTGTTGCAGAGGGTAGTAGTTTGTTCTTTTTCGTTGCTGTATAGTACTCCATGGCATGAATATTCTACAATTTATCCTTGATGGCCATTTGGGTTATTTTCAGTTTGTGGTTATTATAACTAACGTTGCTGTGAATATTTGTGGGATGTCTTTTGGTGGGCACATATACACTCCTAGGAGGAAAATCACTGGGTCCTTGAATACGTTTTAGCAGATGCAGCCAATCAGATATACAAAGTGGTTATGACATAAAGATTCCTAATCTCATTTAACAAATGGGGAAACTGGGGTTCAACGACCTGAAATAACTTATCCAGGGTCACAGCTGTTATGTGGAAGAGACAGGATTCAAACCTTCTCTTCTGTTATGTTATACTGAGGATTTCTTGAGAAAATGTAACAGAAGAGAGAAGCAGAAGTGTGAAGGCAGCCAACTGCCCAAGTCCCAACTTTTTGGAGAAAACTCACAGCTTGCACTTGAATGTCTTTCGCTATTTTCTTAAAATTGCTTTAAAAAATGTCTTGGAAATGGGTGAAGTAAAAATTATGATTTTCATTTGATAATCAAAAAAAGTCAGGCTTGACAAGCCCCTGATTGCTGGAGAAGTGAGACAGATGTTTCTCCTGACTCTACAGTGTGAATTCAGCTCATCGACCTCTCACTGTGGGCTAAAGGCCACAATTCTGGAAAACCCTTGTGCATTTGAAGCTCAAACCATATGTCACCTCTTATATTTGGAGTTTGGATCAGGTGGGACCAGGAACCCTCTCATATTTGAGGTCCAGATCATGTGGGGCCAGGAACCAGCTGGCAGGAGCCTGCCCAGCAACAGCCTTCTCTCTGGGCAAGATTTCACATCTGCCCCCAATTAAGCCAGCCATTTTACACCGTGAGCCCTATGGAGAGGCATCTTGGAACCCTTGACCAAAATGAATTGCTTGGAAGAGCATCACCAGAAAATCTCACTGCTTGATTTAGAACATCTTCCCCCATTTAAAATCCTGCCCATAAGACTAGTTTCCTCCTTCCTCCACCCCTGTGCCATTTCCCCGGGACCTCTGTAAAACCCTGGGCTTCTGCAACATCAAATGAGTCCTCCACTGGAAAACTTTTGCTGAAAACATGGCATTTGGATTAACAGATTTTTTTTTTTTAATTCCCCTGGGAACCCACTCATGTTCACTCTGGAACTGCTGTCTGGAGCCAATTATCTTTAGACAGTTTTTCAGTGACCTTTAAATAAGATTTATACAAGGGATAGGGGGAGGGTATAGCTCTGTGGTAGGGGGCGGGCTTAGCATGCGCGAGGTCCTGGGTTCAGTCCCCAGTACCTCCATTTAAAAAAATGTTTTTAAATAAATGAACAAAGGATGCAAGGTTTCCTATCTGTTGGGACATTTCAGTTACTCTTTCATGGCTGTTCTCAGTGAAAAATCAATGCCCTCTCTAGGGACAGGCTGCAGAAAATCATCACAGGGTGGAGCTTAACTCTGAAATGGCCAGGAGGATTCACGCAGCAATCGGGTTTGATGAGAAAACCCTTGGAAGCTTTGGATGACTCGCCTGGTACTCTCAGTGAGCTGGTGCATCTGTGGGAGAGTGAACAGATGGTCCTCTCATCTGGCTAGAAATTTACTCAGCCTTTTGTGTTTGAGAAGCATAATGAAGCTACAGGCAGGATGCAAGGATCCCTGAAGAAATTAGGGTAACCATGCATTGGAAGGTGGATGGAGAGCTCTATATTATCCAGAAACAAGGCTTTAATTAGCATTTTGTGTTTCTAGGGTTGAATAAGAAAAATCAAGCAGCTGCTGGCCATGGGGGAATCCATGCAGAAGCTAAGAAGGCAGTAGAGGTTTGGTTTATACGATGGCTGGATGCCCATGCAGTTCAGCCCCACGGCACTCCCAGAGGGTGACAATGTGTGGTACGTGGCCAAGTGAAGTCATCGTCCACCAAAGGGCCCCCGCAGCCCATGCCGGAGCTGAGGCCAGATGTCTCTGAAGGGACCAGCAGGCTCCACGGGGCACAGAGGACCAGGTCTTATTTTGTGGTTGTGAAAGCCACAGGCGGCAACCCTAGGAGGGGAAAAGCCATGGACTCCCGCTCTCTGAGCATATAAACCCCTGGAGCGTGGGGACAAGAGCGGGAAGGGGACCCCAAGAGGGAAGTTGCGGACTTCTTGCGAAGCTGATGCATGGGAATGAAGGACATGTGACTTGGTACCCTGAATGCGGGGCACCGTTCACACTGCCCACACTGAGCATTTACAGTGGCTGATGGAACAGGCGTGGAATACTGTTATCCTTTTCCCTAGTAAGTGCCATGGCGTTTGCCCTGAAAGTTTGGAGGTTCAAGGCTTCAGGCTCAAAAACTCCCATTTGTTCTCAGCCTTATCAGGTCTCCAAGCTCAAAACATGGTGTGTAACATGATACATAAGACAAAGAACGAGGTGGGCCGACTGTTTGGGCATTGTATGATTCTGCCGAAAGATTTCTCAAAATGATTTTACAAAATGTCAAAGATCTATGGGGGACCTGCTCCTTTAAAGCAAGTGCTGGAGGAGCTCAGCTGTCTACCTTCCTGCTCCACCGGAGAAATCCTCTAAAGTCCTGCTTCTCTGAGCACCTTCCATGAGCCAGCAGCCTCGGCATGGCCTGGGAGCTTGCTGGGAATGCGGAATCTCAGACCATACCTGAGTCAGAATCTGCACGTTACCAAGAAGGATTGCGCTGAATGAAGCAGTGAGCGCGCCAGCAGACTCTTGCAGGGGCTCCCACACTGCATGGCTTCCCAGGCCTGGAGCCCAGGTGCTCTCAGACACAGGGCCCCTAAAACTGGAAGGACCAGCATTTCATCTCTGCCAGAGAGAAAATGGTAGCTCTTCCCAGGAGCATCTCTACAACCCCACCGAAGACTGCATGAAACATTATGTCAAGAGGGAAGAAATAACTCCCAGAGCCTGTCACTGCCTTTCCTCTAGAGAGAACATAATTTTGTAGGGCACCTCCCAGGCTGGTAAATAACCTTGACCGAATGGCAGCAACGGGCCCCGGGTTGGCTCACTTGGTCTGGAGTGATGCGCCCACACTTGACCGTCCCCGGCATCCTCCAGCGTCTGTGTGCACTTTCTCTTCTTGGTGGATGGCAATGAGGCTCTAAAATCAAGAACCCAAAATAAAGTTAGGATTTTTCTTTGTTCTCCTTGTCCTATTAAATCAAATTTAACTTCCCAGGTCTCAGCTCCTGGCCTTCTTGAAACTAATTCTAATTAGTTAAGGTTCCTTGAGCCCTGCAAGTCTGCAGTAAAAACCAGGTCAATGCAATGGAGTAGATACGGCAAGCTCCCATTCCATGAGCCCTCCTGGTCTGAAACTTAGCTTTTCAGTCTCCGATGGACCTGGGATTCACCTGCTTGAAAAATAAACTGACAACATTTCCAAAAGCAGAAGACTCATTGAGACAGAGAAGACAGTTAAGATACTTAAAATACAGGTGTACACTTGACACCTGAAAATGTTCTTCACGTGGAATCTTATCACAGTTTTTGATGGCCTTTGCCCTTTTTTGCCATCCTCTAGATCCAGAAGGAGGAATGAAAGAGAGGAAGAAGAGAGGGAGGGAAAAAGGGAAGAAAGAGAAGGAAAGATTATCAATGAAGACAATTGAAAAAAAAGACGATTGACAGTTTTCAGAGAACTCATTCACACATTGCTTGAGTAGTCTCGCTGAGGCTGGGCATGCAAACAGTGCCTTCTCCATCACTCAGAATCTCCCTGTACATTTCTGACATTTTAGCTTGCCAGTGAATGAGGACCTTGGGTTTCGTGGGTTGTTAATCAAGAGATGGTCTGAAGCCAAGGGCCCTGGGTGTCTGATACATGTCTCAACACTGCCATCTCCTGGAGAGGACTCCACTGTTCACTCTTCACCTGCACCGCTGGGGAGGGGGGCTGCTCTGAGGTCTTTCATAACTAAACATCTTGCCCTTTACCCAGGACTGTGGCACAGAGGGTGCTGATGGTAAGAACAACCAATCTCCAGGTGGGAGGACACAGGTTGGTCCAGGGGGGTCACGAGATGACTGGTGTCTGGGTAGCAGTTGTGAAAGCCGCCGTGGGTATGGCCAGAGGCACTGGTTCCGGACGAGCTGGGGGGCAGGTGTGCAGGCAGCATCGCAGGTGCAGCTGCGGCGTGCAGGAAAGCAGCCGTGGTTCTCCCGGCTGCGGGCGTCAGAGCCGGGCAGCACGCACCTGGGGGAACACTCAGGTGAGAAAGGCCTCTCTCCCACCACGCACAGTCCCAAAGAACAGGAGCAGAGCAAGCAGTGCAGGAGGGAGGCGCATCGCACTCACCTTTGACCTGTGGAGGAGAGCAGGAGTCTGACGCAGAATAGGGTGGGGTATCTGGAAGCTGGCCTTGCCTGAGGATTAGAGACAAGCGTTGCTTTTTTGTTGTAACCCATTCTATCGTTCCGTTGTTGTCACAGACAGGAAGCAGCCCTCTGTGTACAGCACCCCCGGAGAGGGTTCTGGGTGTTCCCAGGGGGGCCAAAGCCCACCAGACCCCGCCCAGGGACGCGTTGAGTGGGCTCTGAGTCAAATAGGCCTGGGTTGGAGTCCCAGTTCTTCCACTTCCTAACTGTTTATCCATGAACAAGTACTTAATCTCTCCAGGCCTCCGTTCCTCACCCACAAAATGGGAATAATCATTATGCCTTCCTAAGCATCACAGTGAAAATTAAATGAGATACTGGGTATAAAGCGCATAACATACATCTCCAAACGCCGTGATGCTCAGTAAAGTTTAACTAACATTATTGTTGCTTCTTCACTTTCTCAAAGCACTAACACCGGAGAGATGGTCGGGTGATAGCACTGTAAAATGCCACCACTAAAGCACTGGTTTTCCATCTGTGCTCCCGAAGATCCTGGAAAGAGCTCAGGTGTTTCACAAAAGAAAAAATTTTAAATGCCTGGGGGGATAATTTTGTAACTTTTTTCTGTTTTATATATTGAGATGCAAGTAAAATTTCATTTTAAAAAATGAGTGCCACCACTTTTAAAAAGGGTGTAAATTTCTGTTAAAAAAAAAAAACCCCAACATTTTCTGTTTGAAGTTTCTTACAGCTCAGGAAATCTGTGATTTTAAGCTCAATATAAGCACCACCATCCTCCACTTGTTTCTCTTGCTGGAGAGTGAGCGATCATGTTTTTCTTGGTTGATTAAGATTTCAACCTCATCCAGTGAAGAGAGGAGTCTGTTTTTATTATTTACTAGAAAAGGTATGTTTCCGCCACAGGTTGATCCTTTATAGTTTATTCACTTTTTATTAATAAGGGAAGAGAGAACACACATTTACCTTCCTCCAAAAATTCCACCCAAATGAAAGACAAGACCTAAAGAGGCATAAACACAGAAGGACAGAGAGCATGTTGTGCAGAGACCGCAACAGACTGTATTTCGATAACACTGTGGCAGACAGAAGTAGGGTGGATGCTAACTGATTCAGCAGAAGGGAATAGCAAAAACAAGACTGCCTGCGAGTGGTGGAGGGGACGTAGGAGCCAACAAGACATTATCCAACTTGTATACAACTCCAGAAAAGCCCAAGATATTGGCATTACCAGCAGCCTCTGAATTCAGGGGTAAGGTGGAACCAAAAGCGAAAGATGGATTGAAAGTGTGATTAGGGAACAGGTGAACCCTTACATCAGCCTCCCCAGTCGGTACAGCCAGGCCACGTCCTCCTTCATCTCAACAGAAATTGGAAAGCTTTACTCTCTGGAGAGTTGGATCCAGGGAGACTATGGAGCTACTGGGCTAAAAATAGAAGGATTCATTAAAAGTCTAAA